TATTTTTATTGCAATTACACAAATAATGCTCGTCGGCAGAAACAAAGTATAGATACATGGCTGCCACTTGTTGTGAGATCACTTGGTCAAAGCATGTTCTAGAAGACCTAAAAGTTTATCAAGTGTATCCAATCAAGCTATGCTACGACAATAAGGTAATTCTTCATATTGCTTCGAATCTTGTTTTTCATAAACGCACGAAATACATTAAAATCGATTGTCATGTAGTTCGCAAAAAACTACAAGCAGATCATTCAAACAGTTTATGTTCCTACAACTCAACAACGTGCTGATCTCTTTACCAAAGGCCTTGGATCAACACAGTTTCATCTTTTACTTGGCAAATTGGGTGTCATGAATATACATTACAATCGGAGGGAAAGTGTCAAAGATGATCAAGTCAACATCCAGGATGATCAACTCAACAAACTTAATCACTATCATGATCTCCATGTACAACACGTAGTCGTAGTAGTGTAGCCACAATAGTAGCTGTAATTTAGGCAATCCGTTTTTAGCAATTTGCTCATGGACCTATCGATTTAGATAAATATAGGGTTAATTGCATTGGAGGTCTCAAAAGTATGAAATTTGTTTCATTTTGGTCCCCAATATTTCAATTGCATCATTTTGGTCCTTGAAGTATTGAATATGTTTCTATATAGTCCCGTAAGCAGACAGTGTCCAGATTACTATTAATTTTTTATCACAAAGTTACCACATGATATTTAAATGTGGACAAAAAAATAATTTGAATAACTCTTGACTAAATTTTTACTCAAATTTTGGTTAAAAACTTATTTAAATTACACAGTTTTAATCACGAGTTATCTAAATTTTGGTTAAAAACTACCCATATTACACATTTTTTTGTCAAAAGTTACCCAAATTTTGTTTAAGAACTATCAAAATTATTTTTTGTCCATATTTAGTTATTACGTGACAAGTTTATGATAAAAATCATTAGCAATTTGGATATTGTTTGCTTGAATGACCATATAAAAACATATTTAATACTTCAGGGACTAAAATGATACAATTAAAACATTGTGGACCAAAATGAGACAAATCTCATACTTTAGAGACTTCTAGTGTAATTAATCCATAAATATATAATGCATTTCTTGACCAGAGAAGTCATTTTTAGCGGAGACACTATGCGTTTTTGAGATCTACGTGCTCTCTGATTAGAATTTCTAAGGGTCCAAATGGGTTGAACTTGAGTAAGTTAAAAAAGACAAACAACTTCTAGGTCCATTTGGTTAGAAAGAAAAAAAATGATAGAAAGTGAAGTGAAAGAAAAGAAAATGATATAAAATATATTTTTATGCATGTATTTGGTTAGAATGAAAAATTGACAGAAAAGTTTTAAAACAACTTTATTCTATTGTTTGAAAGAAAGTAAAATTATAAGATTTTTTTTATAATTGTCTAAATTATCCTTAATTATATTATATCGGTCTAAAAAAGAAAAAAAATATGTAATTACAATTGAAAGTTTAAAAATTTTAAAAAAGTGGCTCGAAACCTAATTCTAAGACAATCACCAACACAAAAGTTTTTAGGCCAAATTATGTGATTAATTAAATTCATACCAAATTTTTTTAAAATTAATAACCAATAAAATATTTTAAGAAAAATAAGGATAAAATAAAAAGTTAGTTATAGATCACAACTTTCTTGCATTTCCTTGTGTTTTTTACAAGAAAAATACCTTGGTTATTTGTGAGAAAATTCAAGGATGAAAGAAAATTATTTTTTATATCATTTTCTTTTCCATGCTAACCAAACACATGAAATTTTTAAAAAATTATCTTTCTTGCATTTTCTACTATTCTTCCGCTAAACAAACGAACCCCTAATCATTCGATCAAACGATACATTCCCACGAATCCCACACCATTAAATTCTAAATCAGAAAACTACTAATTACACCCCTTATATATCCACCCACTAGTAACTAAGTCCACCCCGACTAAATTTATCTCAATCTTTGCCCGTAGAGTTTCTTTCTATACCCCATCTCATATAATCTATACGAAAATATACTTATCTTGATTATATACTATAAGTCCCTCAATGATATTCAACACCAATCCCATATACATTATATGATTTTATATCTTCCATAATTATTGGTTCATCTCTTATAGTGTATTTTACTTATTGTGGAATTGTGGTTATTGAAAATGAGACCATGTTTTTCTGGTGGCGCGCCTTCTATTAGATGCCAAAGCAGTTGCTGTTGAGGAAAGACCTCATAGCAATGATACCCACATATCTGCTCAATTAACACTTTTAATACCCACAAAGTTTGTATACATATAGTGTTAAATACGTACATAATATATATATATATATATATATATATGTGTGTGTGTGTGTGTGTGCGCGCGTGCGCGCGCGCACGCATGCATATATAAATATATACAAACTTAACTTTAAAAAAAAAAAAAATTCACATGGAATGGTTAGAGTAAAGGCTTATTTGATTTTTTTTTTTTGGTAACATTCAATACAAACTTGATTCCTGCTTAAGAGATCGATACTAAATAATTAAGTTTATTATATTTTCATTTAAACTGTGTGACAGTAAAAGTAGTATTGGAATAATGGATAATTATGTTTTTGATCTATTGATTCTTAGATCTATTGGTGTTCAAGGTCTATATAGAAAGACCCCTTCAATTATTCTTGTTAAGTGGTATCCCCCTCCTAGTGGTTGGATTAAACTGAACACGAATGGTTTAGCCAAAAGAAATTCTGGGCCGACTGTTTCTGCTGGTATTTATAGAACTAATAAGGGTTTTTTTAAGGGAATTTTTAGTGAATTTTTGGGTGTGCAATTTGCTTTTTATGCTGAATTGGTTGCAGTTATTATTGGTATTGAGCAAACATGGCAGAAAGGTTGGAGATACCTCTGATTGGAGTCAGTTATTATTGGTATTGAGCAAACATGGCAGAAAGGTTGGAGATACCTCTGATTGGAGTCTGACTCTTGCTTTGTAATTCAATGTTTGGCTAATCCATCTTTTGACCCACCCTGGTCCCTTAAAATTCATTGGCTAAATTATAGGTACTATTTGCAGCATATGAACTTCCGTTTTAGTCATATCTTTTGAGAAAGAAATGTTGTAGGCGATAAATGCACAAATATTGGTTTATCCTATTCAAGTTTTCAATGGTGGTGGGCTGCACCTACAGTGCTTGCTACTCAACTCTGTAATGACATGTATAGCCTCCCTTCGTATAGGTTTAAACCATAGGGTGGTTTTGAGTTCTCTGTGAGCTGGATTGTGGCATTTTATAAGCTACCGGGACCAGACTTTTCTTTATTTTTTCACTTCTTACATGTATTCTCTTTTTCTTTCATTAATAATATTCAAGCCTATAGCACATGATTCGGGATATCCTCGGATGCCAACCTAGTTGGGATACTAGATAATTCTATGATGCTTGAAACTCTATTTTATGCAAAAAAAAAAAAAAAGTACAAAAAGAAACCCTAAAAAAAGATTGAGATTAATTTAATAATTAGTATGGTAGGTATAAAATAGAGTAAACTTTGTTATTAGTGAGGTGGGTATAAAATGAGTGAACTTTTAGAGTTTAATGTAGGCCTGTCAATTTTTGACACGATACGTTAACACGACACGAACCGAACACGAAATTAAACGAGTTAATGAGTTAAAACGGGTCAACACACTTAAATATAAAAAAAATCATGTCAGGTTCATGTCAAAATTAGGTCAACCTGATTTTGACATAATTAACCCGTATATTTTAAATGGGTTGGACATAATTCGAACAAAAACCCGACTTAACCCATTGTAGACTCGTTTAACCTATTTATGGCAATATAGTTTGTCTATTATATATGACTGATGTAGTCTTAATATTATTACTTATTAGTTTTTGCTTCTACCATGATAATTGATAATATAATTCTTGTTTTAATTTTTGGGTTGAATCTTGAATGCATTTTAGTTAATTTCATTGATGAGATTTGATATGTTATTTGTAAAAAAATTATTTGAAATATTGGATGAATGATTGAATGATGTATTTAATAGTAATGAATTAGTGTGAAAACAGGTTATATGTGTTAAACATGTCTGTGTTATGTGTGTTAAATAAATTAAATAAATCATGTTATGTGTGTTAACCCAAAAATGACATGTTTATTAAACGTGTCGAACAGGTCAAGTTCGGGTAATCCGTTTAATAGCTAGGTCAGATTAGTGTTTACATATTTTGACACAATTATTAAACAAGTATAGTTTGAATTTTGAGATTTTCAACACAAACTCGATATGAAATGACCTAACCCGACATGTTTGACACCCCTAATTTAATGGGATAGGAAAGAAGATTTTATGGGGTAGGAATAACTACACCCAATTAAAAAAAATACCCAAAGTTAGAGAGGATGTATGTTCTTTACCACAAAAAATACAGAGGGCTAATATCACTTTGTACCTCCTTGAAACATTAAAAATTTTAATATATACCTTCAATATTATGAATTAATAATAGTATGAACCTAACACAGATTGTTATTCAATTTTTTGTCATAAATTAAAACAGGTGATCAAGTGCAAGTGTTTCATGTATAAGGATGAGATATGTTCATCATTGCAGAACTTCGTCTGTGATCAATTTGACACCATTTTATATATCAAAAATAGATTTTCATTAATTAAATAGAGGTTAACATGTGCAACACTAACAATTTATGAATTTATATATAATCCCATGCTCGAAGTAGTGGTAACTCACGTGTTTCAATTTATGACGAAAAATTGAAAGACAAATTGGGCGAGGTCTATATTGCTACCAATTAATAATATTAAGAGTATAAATTAAAATTTTTAATATTTAAGGATCTAAACTATGAATTAAAACATCTTTCATGGCACAAAGTGAGATTAACCCAAATACAAAACTCGACCCAACAAACTGAAAAATGGACAACAAGACCGTATCCACATCACCCATGTGAATTGAGCTGCTGAGTGAAAATAGCTCATGCCCTCACAGGTGCTATAATGGTGACTTCTTCCTCTTAAGCTGCGAATGCCAGAAGACTCTGCTTTTGTGATCAGATTTCACACAGAGATATGAGGAAGTTCGACCCCCCGTGGCCCGTTTTCTTCAGGCGTCAATTGAACCGAAACTGGCCCCTCTTTGTCGGTTTCGCCGTCTCCGGCACCGGCAACGGCCTTACTAGTAACCTTACTCTCTCTCTCTCTTTTATATGTATATGTATGCATGTATGTGTATGTTTGTGTGTCTATGCACACACACACACACTCTCTCTCACTCTCTATCATAGACACCCACAGAATCGCTAACATTATGGAGAGGTTTTGATTGTCCATCTCATATCTGTATCTAGTAGTACCTCGTTCTCTCTGTCATTTCTTTGATTTGGATTTTCTGAAACCGAATCAAGTCATCTAATCAACATTTTGAACCATTTTTTTTCAGGAGAGGATGCTAAGAACTCCATATTCGTGCAGGGGCACAAGAGGTACTTTTCTAATTTTGCCCTAAATTCTCACATTCTATTTTAGTATCTTCTAGATCTAGTTCTAACGTTTTCTGTTCCATAAGATTCTACAGCTCTGTAATTAGGGCTACAGTATTAATTTTATGCTGATATCCTTCAGGACTCAACTTTCTTTTCCCCGGATATGTTGCAGAGCAACGTATGGTAAGTGATTAATTCATGTTCTTCTCCATGTGACCTTTTGGTAAAACCATTTCATGATCTCAACCTGTACTTAGAAGCTTGTTACAGATATGGCGATGTTGTTCAGATATTTCTTAAATTTTTGTTTATATTTCAAGTTTTTTCAAAGGGATATTCATTTTTTTTGGTATATCTATTTAATGAAGTCTATTTTCTGGGTTATGAATGTTTATTGGGGTTTTATTCCTAACCGAGAAGACCAAAATTGTTCATGTTTGAAGTGATAATGTTTGATCTGAAAACGTTAGTCTTTGATATTATTCCTGTTAAATCTGGGACAGATGGTTCGTTCAGTCTAAGAGTGATCCCTCCAAACCTGTTAGCAGCAGAAAAAGAAGAAGCTAAGGCCGTGTTAACATTGTTCTTGAAGAAACAAGGCTTGAGCAATCCAGCTGCTGCAAAAATTATCAACAAGTCAGACCCTTTCATTGATCACCTTGTTTCTCGGCTTCATTCTGTTCACAAATCTCATTATCTAGTAGGTTCGATTACAACATATTACTGTTTCCTCTGAAAAGCAATTGAAATGGTATAAAATTCATTTTATGTTCTGCGCCAGACTTACAGATTTAACTTGACATTGCAGGGCGAGAACTTACCACTCTTGAAATTAGGGATGCGCTTATTCCGTACCTTGAAACTCTATTTGAGGAGTATGGTGACATTCTAGTAGAGGTAGTGGAAAATTTTCCAAACCCTCCTGTTGAAGAAAGATTGGAGGAAAATTTTCTAACCTTGTCTGCCAAAGAAAGGTCAGTTCCATCAGTGTCTCCTCCCAACACTACCCTTGACTCCAAGAAGCTGAAAGCCATGGCTCGAGTGAGTGATATTGGCCCAACTGGGAAGCTCCCTCAACATGTTGTCTACCTCATGGATCTTGGTATGGAACTTGAGATGATCAAGGAGGTTACCCGGAAGTTCCCTGCATTCGCCTACTATAGCTTAGAGGGGAAAATCAAGCCTGTGGTTGAGTTTCTTCTTCATCTTGGGGTACCAAAATCTGATATTCCCACCATACTCAGCAAGAGGCCCCAACTTTGTGGAATCAGTCTTTCTGAAAACCTGATACCCACCATGAACTTTTTAGAGGACTTAGGCGTGGATAAGAAACAATGGGCAAAAGTGATTTATCGCTTTCCTCCACTTCTCACCTATAGCAGGCAGAAGTTGCAAGCAACAGTAGATTTTCTCTATGAATTGGGACTATCTGCTGAGAGTGTGGGTAAGGTTCTTACACGCTTCCCAAACATAATTAGTTACAGTATTGAGGATAAGCTTAGGCCCACGGCTGAGTACTTCCGTTCTATTGGGGTGAATGTTGCAGTTCTTCTCCACCGATCTCCACAAACTTTTGGTCTAAGTATTGAAGGGAACTTGAAGCCTGTGACGGAATTTTTCTTGGACAGAGGGTACAACATGGGGGATGTTCGAACAATGACCTCAAGATATGGGGCACTGTATACTTTTAGCTTGGTAGAGAACTTGATACCAAAGTGGGAGTTCTTTTTGACCATGGATTATCCAAAATCTGAGCTGGTTAAATTTCCTCAATATTTTGGTTACAGTTTGGAGAGGATCAAACTTAGGTATTCAATTGTGAGGGAAAAAGGAGTAAAATTGCTGCTGAACCAGGTGCTCTCTCTTTCCAATAGTGAGTTTGATAAAGCTCTCAAACGTAAATTGAAGAAAAAAAGCTTGATTGACGACTAGTGTCCAAGTATTTGATAGTGCTGCAAAGATCTGCAATTGGATGTGCAAGAAGAAGACTGACTCCAAAAATGTCGGGATAAGGCTGTTGAATTGAGTTCCCAAAAAGGTGTTGGATGTGAATATTTTGTTGCATTGTTTGTAAGTATTAGGCAAACTGCGGGCTGTGTGGATTTTGTTGTTCTGGAATTCTATCAAGGTACTGAGGAAAGAGTTACTGTTGTATAGACAGCTGCAGAAGAAATGAAGCAAGCATGGACTATGCTCAATTCTGTTTATCTAACATACCTACATGTAATGTGACACCCCCACATACATGGAACAGGGGAAGAGGGAACAGGGAGAGGAGGAATTACTTCGAACATTGTCAGTGTTAAATACTTACCACAGCGTTGTAAGATGCACAGAATACCATCGCATTATATTCGATGTTGATATTCCGGAAAGTGCTCATTACCTCGCCCTTTTTGGCAGCCTCTGATTTTGACAACGATGAGATCAGTTTTTGATGGATCTATTTAAAACTATAGCAGCCATTGAATTTTGAGTTCCATACTTAATTTTTTTTTTCTCAACAATTAAGTTGTTCAAGTTAGCTTACGCATCTCTCAATTAATTCTCTCCTCATTTCGGTCAAAGACGGATCATTCATATCAGGATTACGATATTCACGAAATAAATTCTTAATAACCTAACCCAAATTTACAATTTCTGATCTATTCAAACCTCTCTCTCTCTGTCTCTCAACCGAAGTAGGCATAATAGAATCAATTTAAGGTCCAATCCTAACTTCAAACCTTTTTTTTGGGGTGTGAGGGAGGGGACCCAATCTGAACTTCAAATGGGTCCTAACACTTCGTTTAAAATCAACCCAGATTTCTTAACCTAAGTAATTTAACTTGACTTCTTCGAGCTGTAAATTCTTTTATTCCATGTTGGCTTCATGCCCTTTCACCTTCAAATCCTATTTTAGTTGCACAAATCATAGTGCTCAATGCATCAACAAGTTGCAACCAATGGAACTTGTGAAGCATGTTTTGAAGAGAATCATTATGGCTTCGCTGCTGCTTTGTATACTGTCCCCTGAACTTTTCCTAGATGCAGTTCGACAAGTTACAAGCATATACTTACTAGAAGATAATCCCTATGACTAGATAATTTTATACTACAAGATTGCATTTAACATACAGACATGTTATCAGAGCCAAAAAGAAATGAAATACTTTACAAAGATGATTACAGAGATTGTTTGAAGCAAATTCAAACTTCGAAGTCCACCGGATCCAGATGCAAGCTTTTGATTGGATGGAACCTGACAAGAAGAGGAGAGTCTTGAGGCATGAGAAATCATGGAATCAAGAATGTAAAAAGATGAACACAGCCTTTCTCTGCTCTGTTCTCTCCAGCCAAATAAAACTAGTTTTGATATTGCAACTGGTCGTGATAAGCCACGCCAATACTCTGCATTCATGGCCACATCTAATTTTTCCCACAAAACCACTGTATGCATGCATCAGAGTATTCTAACTACCACAGAACCCCTAATTTCCAACTTCAGTCGTTATCAAAAACCCTGTCTATGAATATTCTGTCCAGTAACTTTGCCTTTGCATCTTCCTCGTGGAAACAAGTGATGATATCTTTAAGTGCCTAAGATTTCAACTGCTAACTGTAATTGGTGGGAACTGGGAAGAGGACGTGGAAAGTGGGTATTATCTTATTTTTCCTGGTGTATTAGAATTTATCATGTTGGATATTCATAATAGGGCAGATGTTTTTTCCATTCAGCTACGCTCTCTCTTTCAAGAATAGAATCAACAGCTGGATTTCAATCTAACATTTGACAAAGACTCAGTATTTCCTCATAAGACTTAAAGAGAAAATGCACTCACCTTCGAGAGATCACAAGTAAATGAGAGCCATCCCTGCCGGCCTCACATTCATGCTCATTGCCTTTGCTTTTGCAGAGGTTCAGATTTACACCCTATCAACAATGCAAACCATTCGACAAATCATATATTCTTAAATTCCATCAATCAAAAAGTTGTTAGCAGAGGAAGGCTAAAATCTTGTGTATATATAAAACTGTTTGAAAAGGAGAATATTTGAGCAGACACTTCTCCTACACCAGAGAGGTATTATGAACAAAATTGATCAGATAAGATCAAACCCACATGAAATTAAGATAAAGTGAGCTGGATCAAACTACTTTGAAGCCAATCTCGTTAAGATATATGATTCCCCTAACAAGATAAACATAAAAATAATCATAGCATGACATAGGCACCTAAAGTACTACAAATATAGTAAGACAGTTCATCTTCTCTCTTGTCCACCACAAGGTACAACCTCAGGCATAATCTGTGTGTCTCAAAACGGAAAAAAGGTGGTAATTTCTTAGGCAGCAAACCTCTTAAAGGCTGTTCTCCGTGCAGGCCTTCCTTAATTCCAGTGACTCGACGATCCTGAAAGTACACAATTTTAAGTTTCTTAGATGAAGAAGAAATATATGTCAATTTTGAATTATGCATTTACTAACAACTCATTAAGGATGAAACTGGAATTGAAGAACCAAATAGAATGTGGATAGTTTATAAATGCTAAGTAAGTAAAACAAGGATGGACAGAGCAACACCAGGCTATGTCACAATTCTGAGGATCTCCCGCATAACAAATATAATGAATGAAAATGTCATAAATTGGTAGGAAAACGCTATCTGCATTTGAGTTAAAATAGCCCTACCGTCAAACTTGTGTCCACCACTTGAACTAACACATAAAATTAGAAGTTGAAGATACAGTGACAAAAAAGCAATGAAAGTGCAAAAGATCTGCAATCTATTGTGTTATCATTTTTTTCTGCTCTTTAACTTCCCCACAACTTCAGTCCATATGTCTTATATGTTCCACGGCAACTAAATAGAGCTGGATTCTGTTAGTAGGGATGTCAATCAAACTCCACATTTAAAATTCTCAGATTTATAATTTTGGGAGTGAGCACACGAGCCCATGCATGCGAGTATGTCGAATAACTGAATATGGGGACCCAATGCTGCACGATTAGAAGGTAAGACACACAGAAATGCATAAGCCTAAAAAAGGTTTTTTTTTGTTGGAATATAAACCCGAAATTAACACAAACCGCATTGTAAATCGCTGTTTGATTGCGCCAAAATTCCAAGGTAGGTAAAAGTAATCTCCCTGCAAAACATCCAACCACAACAAGCCCATGGATGATTACAAAAAAAATGGCTTTGTTTAAATTAGAAAACAATTTTAACTGATAAGCTAATTTTTGTTTCAAAAGAAAAGATTCATGCAATGTGAAATGCAATAAGATTAATTCTTGGGAAAATTTCAACCACATCCTCTGTAGATTGCCCTTATTTCAGAGTTTCCTATGCATTATCTGAAATTTCATTGCACCCCTTCCAGATTATATGTCGAACGACCGTTACTTGAGACCATTACCTAGAGGCAAAAATTGCTAACATCAAGGAAGAATTTTTCACAAACGATAAAATCACCCCCCCCCCCCCAAAACAACATGACCACATCCCCTTCCCACCACTAAACCAGTAGCACCACAAAAGAAAATAACTTCCATTCAACACCAAACCAACACAGACACCACCACCACCATTCTCTATAACATTTCCCCAAATTCATGAATTTCCACCCCTAATTTTTTTAAAAAATCACACAACATTTGACCGCCCTCCTTAGCTGACTAAACCAACACCAGAAAGTGACGGCTCAAATTTTCGCTTCAAAGACAACAAAGATAAAGGTTTTCAGGCGGATTGATCCTAATGAAACTGAAGTCTTGGTATTGAATCATCAAAACAGTGTATTCCATCATCAAAAGACCTCTTTCCATAGGTTTACTATTTAATAGAAAAAAAAAACACAATTCCAAGACTCAAAGAAATATTTATATATATACCCTGTTCAATGCATGTTTTTTTTTACTGTCGTTAAAATGAAAGTAAGTGGCTAAATTTTTTTTTGTGGTTCAACAGTAAATATGGTTAAAATATTTACCATGGTTAAAAAGATAAATGCAAATATAGATTTATTGTGGTTAAAAGACTAAAACGTTAGCCATAAGATAAGTTATAAGACCTAAACAATTTGGGACGTTATTGTACTTTTTATAAGCAAGACAATAGACAGATTTATTATAGTTAAAAGATTAAAATATAAAAAAAATAAGCCGTCGAATCTAGACGATTTGGATTGTTGTTGTGCTTTATGTAAGCAAGACATTGTGTGTATATATATATTAGGTGGGAAGAGAGGGGATGAACTTGAGCAAGTGTTATTTCAAGTAACAAACTTACCAGATCTGGATCTTTTGAAAGATTCTGGAGTGACAATAGATGCCTCTCTTTTTCCTTTTCGAGTGATAGGAGTTACCTAAATTAAAAAACAGAAGGGGAAATGAGATTTCCTGAGAAACGAAGAAGAAATTAAAAGCCACAATAAACCTGAACAAATTTATAAAAAGGCAAGTAAAATGACAAATAGCAGCACAAAGAAATATCATATGAAAACCCTGATGATGATAGCTGTATCAAGAACTAACTGGTGTTTCCTATGGAAAGTACACAGGATAAAAGCACTACAATATTAAATTTGAAACTATATGCAATTCAAGCAAGAAAATGTAATACTTTGAGGTGAAAGACCTCAGTTGTTGCCTCAAAATAATGGAGAGAAACCAGATAACAACATTGCCAGGTGTTTAGCCTGACTAATCAACTAAGTAGCACCATGTGCAATGACAACACTGGGTAAGACCTCAAATCGAGGGCAATGAAGGATGATGGCAGTGGTGGACGAGATTAAGACTTAATCTTATGCTATTTGTGCAAGTGGTTGCTCTAAGATGCCAAAACTTGTATGCTTTTTAGCCCAAGCTTTAACTATGACACATAAAATAAGAAATGCTCCATTCATTCAATAATTTGGTTTAATGATCCAAGGGCGGCAGTTTATTGTGGTTTTTTTCATTCAGCCTCAATCTGCTGGTGCATGGTAGGTTATTTTCATTAAGGCTTAATGGCAGTAAAGTAGAAAAATACGCAGAAAAGCATGTTAGAAGGCATTCAAATTACTGATTCATGCACAGTAGAGCATATGTCCATGGGAATTATAGCTGACCGCCAATTCAGCAATCTTAGCGAAGCAAGTATCCTAAAGTTTTAGCTTCGACTATGCATTTCATAAATATGTGAAAATTAGTAAATTACTTCAATATTTTTTTCCCATACCAGATTTTACTTGAGCAGTATATATGCGACTAACTTTGGGCATGTGAAACAGTTTGCAATTGTTAAATTAAAACAGCGGGCTAACTACATTTTATAAGCGTAGAAGGGTTGATCATCAAAGAACAGCTTACTAACATATTCCAATTTCCTTTTAGCCTTGCTTGCTCCTTTAGAATTGCTTTTTTTCTTCACAGCTGCAGTTTTGAAGTCATTTCCGCCACCTGAATCACGGTCGCCATCTGGTACAGAATACTTGACTTCTTCAGAGCTGCCCATTGAAACAGAGCTCGACTTATTTTTGTGATTATATAATAAGCAATTTGTTGTTTGGCTATCCACCTGCTTCAACTTCGATTTGCTTAAGCAAGTTCTCAGCATTTTGCCCTCAGAATTTCTTCTAGTTTTTGCTAAAATGTCCTTTTCCTCCCCAAATACAAAATTTTTAGTAATTGATTTCGTGTTCAATTTCTCTTCTCCCAGATTCTTAGGGGCCCCTGATGGAGAATTGCATTTTCTGCTTCTGTACTTTAAAAACCAATTAGACACTGGGTTCTCTTTCTGATGGTCCCTCAAATTCCTCAACTTATAACTTCTTCCCGTCTTGTCATTATTTGGAGTGGCATTTGCATACATGTTTTTGATGAACGGAGAAACTATATTCCTCTCTGACCCATACAGCCCTATATGTTGCCTGGCAATATCATCCGGACAATTTCCAGCCGCACCCTCAGTGTTAGTGCTTTCAACAACTGGTGCTCCAGATAAAGACTCGTTTTCTATTCCTCCAGCAGCAATATTAGACAACTTTGAATTATTGACACTAATTACACCCTCATCTACACATCCCACCGCCATCTCAGGGTGTTGGAGCAATGAAACAGCAGAGAAGTTGATGCTTCCCCTTTCTATCCCCACGTCCTTCCCATACAATTTGGAATCTTCCAACCTTTTAAAAGATCTAGCATTCATAGATGAGGTTTCTGCAATCACATCCTCACTGACCTTCAAAGAATTAGCATTGTTCACATCAGAAGTTCCTGGCAGTGGAGATTCCATCATAGTATTATCCATTTTAGTATTATCATTCAGATTCTTAACATTTTCTAAATTATTTCCTTTTGGATTACCATGTGTCCCTTTCTTCACTTTCCTCTCATTTTTTTGTAAGTTTACCTTCTTACCAGATCTTAGCACGCGATGGCTAGGCGCTTCCAGTTCCACAGTTATGTTTACGTCTAATGAATTAACATCGTTACTGGCGGGATTCGTAGATAAAGAAGAGTTCACCATATTACAGGTGTCATTGTTCACAAGACCTGCTGTGAAACTCAGATGACCCTCATCTTTTGATGCTGAAGAAAATCTTTCTACTGTACTTCCAACATCAATATTAGAGACACCAGAACATGTATCAGCTCTATGTTCCACTTCAGCACTAGTTAATGAAGCAAAGCCCTGGTTTTGCAAGGTCAAATCTTTTGAGGCACCACCAACTATATTTCCAGACAAGACATGAGAAGGCCATACTTTTCGAACTCCAACTGGAGATTCATTGTCTTCCACTGCCCCACTCTCTCTGCCCCTGTCATCATGCCTTTCTTCAGTAATGCCCTTCTCGTTATTTTTTGGAGTTCCTTCATAGGAATCTCCCTCACCTGTGACTGCTACAAAATATCAGGACATAGATAAAGAGGATGTTAATGCCAGGATTCTTGTTTATCAGTTCTGCATGGAGCTAAAAATTATCAAAACAATTGAATCGAGTATGATATACTTCCTGAACACATAGAAAACTTGCCAAGACCCCTGTTACTTCTTGCAACAATCTCGGCAGCATACTCCTCCCAGTGAGGAGGAAAACCAAAAACAAAATGATTGAAGACCTGTTCAAAGGAGCACTAAAATCTTTAACCATAAGTTAAAATGATGACAGACCTACTTGTGTCTTGTACAAGACCAGTGTAAACAAGTCAATTGTAACCAGAAGAAACACTGCATCCAGCCTTGTGGAGGTGCAAATGCCTTTGGTCGGCCAATATACAAACAAGTATGATACAGATATAAAGCAATTCTTACATCCTAATGGTATGTTCAAATAAGAAGACATGAAGTCAGATGGAAAACAGGTTTTTATGGCACATCAGCAGGGGAAGGGCAAGTTTGTAAAATAAAAAGAACAAGGGGAAAAAAAATACTGAACAATAGGAACCAGTTATAGATCCTTGTCGCGCTCACAGTAAGTTTTGCAACGCACAAAAATCATTCAAGAACAGTTGCATAATCTTACACATGTACAACATAATCAACATAATTGAATGCGACATATGAGCTTGTTGTAAGTGTAAAGAGAGCTCGTATCTTATTTTGAATAATTAGACCACGGTAGGTTTATATGCTTAAAGGGCTTCATCAATCATTGTGAATTAGTTTTGAGTTGGATGCTCTAACATGCTATTAAAGTCAACTCTCTTACCCATTTGAATTTCTGAATGTTTGTCAGTCTGTTTGCTAATCACACATGCGAACCCAAGGTTGGTTTATATGGTGAAGAAGTCTTCCCATTCATTGCCAAGTCATTTTGAGTTGGATGCTCTATAAGAAGAACAACATGAAACAAACTTCTGGTGCAAACAAGGAAACCACCAATTTATTAAAAATAACCTTGGTTAGAACACCACTTCTGTTGGAGTAATTGGTCTAATATCCAATTTACCTTTAGAAACGTACTTTCTTTGATAATTTTGTGATACCGATAGTTCTCAAATAAAAAACCCCTCTTTGGTGCAGCTCATCTCAACATACCATGCCACCTGCTCAAAATTGAAACAATTGTTCCAACTCTGAAGAGCATTCTCCTACTCCTAAATGACCATCAAGGTCCTCAAATGGTCTCACTTGACTAGAAATTATCCAGATCCAGTCCCCAGTGGTCAAATCTTGACACCAAACCATACAAATCTGATTACATCCAAAAGGATCAAATGAATAGACATGAACTCAGTCTTGAATTACACTTCGGCAAGCATTAATCATGCAACTTAAGGAACAAAACAAAAATAATATCATCTACATACCTCGGAGGGAAAACCATTTTCTTCTGTGCGAACCTTGTTTATAAGGCCTTTGACTATTACACATATTCCATCAATGGTCTCAAGGGTGAAGACATCATATCTCCTCGAAATTGGTGCAGAGACAAACACCCGCATAGCTTGTTGTCTGTGTCTCAAAAAGAGGTATTAGCTAATGAAAGTACTTGCATCACCCTGTGAACTACAAATTTCTGCACAAACTATAAAAATAACACTAAATTTGAGTGACAACTAATAATTACCAAAAGAGGTTCAGATAACCTGTAATATGTAGGAAAAGTGTATAGGGCAAAAAATTATTGAGTAATTAAACAAGAGAAAACACACTAACTTTTGTCCTTCAAATTGAATATCCATATAAAGGATACATCCATCAACCCAACCATTTGATTCAGCCTTCAAATGTTGAAAAATAAGAGAAAGTAGCTTTAAAACTGAACCACTACTAGTATTATCATATCCATCTACAAGATGAATAGTAGGGCCACACAAAGAGAGCAATGTTTATCGATCATCAGAGAAAAGATAACAAATGGAGATGCTCATACGCTGCATTTCCAACCAGACACATAGACTAATTTCTCATAACCATGCCTATTCAATATCATGTGTGAATGTCCAATATAGGTACTTGACATATTTAGAAGAGTATATACAACATCAAGTTTGACTAGAAAAGGTCTGACCAGTGATCGTAGGGAGGGTCAGATTTGCATACTTATGTCATCTGGAGCGAATATTTCCCTCATTCAAACCATGGTACCCACGTTATGATGGAGCAATCTTACCATTTAATATGTGGTGAATCCAATTATAAGATATCCTCCCTTTTTTTAGCTAATTAAATCATTACAAAGGAAAGCATCCAAAGATTATTAACGGATAGGATTATGGTATTACAAGAAATCAAAAGGAAGGACTGGCTAGAAGCGTAGAAGTTTATATGATTTTTTATTTTGTTGCCAATTATGGTATTACAGTAGGATTATGATAATATAGCAAAGGGTGTCACACCCTTGAAGTTTACCATATTTGACAAAAACGTATTCGCCTCACTCTTGGGACATTGTAACTCAAATAGAACATTGGTCCTTTGCTCGACGTATAACACTTCCATTCAAGCAAAGTATACTCAAATACAAAATTACAAAATCCACTCGATCCACAAGCATTTTGTGGAATCCAATAACCAGAGTGACTAAATGACAAAGGTGGATTTGGTGGAAATATGTGCATAACTCAAGAGCTCATGGACACAGTCACTTCTTCCACAAAAATCCCAATGATTGGGTCCCTATATATTTATTTTGAGCAGCCCAAAAGTGTGGTGTGGTCATCAATGCTCTAGCTTTCCTTAAAATAAGATTATAATTAAGTCATACATTCTTAACTAAAAGTAAACTCTCTTACAGACAATGTCCAAATATGCTACTTACTTGTGGAAGTTCCTCCTCATTTCAGCCATATCGTTTCCACATTATCCATGTGGATATGGTAACGAACAGTGTGAACCCAAAAAAAAAAAAAAAAGAAGAAGAAAGAAACATAGAATAAGCCCCTACTAGATAACAAGTTACAACTCTCTATGCAAGTACTAGACAATGTGCAATGAATTAATATGGAAAATCTTTAACCAACTATTCACACTTCTTACCAGCCAATGTAAGCCTCTTTTTTTTAACAGGTGCCAATGTAAGCTCAATAACTCACATATGTACCACCAATTTTATCAAGCAAATCCAATCCGACCATAATAACTCAATATAATGTAGAATTAACACGCAATAGAACTCAAATTTTAATAACTTTCTCCAATAATTAAACCTAAGATAGTCACAAAATAAAACCCTAACAGGACAAGATGACTTACTCTCGAAAATCGCCAATTATTAAACCTAAGATAGTTACAAAATAAAACCTTCAAAGACCAAAGAAGGCTTACTCTCGAGAAGTAAAACCTGCAACGCCGAGTCTCTTCCCTTCATACTCATGTTCCGCATTTATCAACCACCAGTCGTGCAAACAAACCTTTGCTCAAATTGCAAAAAACAGAAAAACATAATCAAAACAAAATCAAACTGAAAAGAAAAAGAGGGTTTTTGATCGGAAATGATTTTACGAAGAAAACTTACTGTTTTTCGAAAATAAGATTTCGATTCGTTGCCAGTGTTTGCATCGTTGTCGTTGTTGACAAGTGGTCGAGTCGACGAAGTAGAAGCAGAGGCCATGGAGAGAAGAGAGCCGTAGTGTCAGACTTGCGCTACAATGGTTTTCTAGGGTTTTTGTACTCTGGACCGTCTGGCGGTTCAGCCCGAAGCGCGGGAAACGAAGAGTGACGTGTCCCAACTGATGGCAAGGTTAAAGCTATTTTTGTTTCGTGTTTTCTGTTTTTATTTTTTAAAAAAATAAAAATAAAAATAAAAATATGTTTAGAATGTATTTTTGTTTTTTTTTTTAAATAAATTATTCTACTTTCAAAAAAAAAAAAATTATTCTGAAAACAAGGCCTAAAAATAACAAACAAAAAAAAAATGTTACAAACAAGGTAAAATAGAAATAACGTGCGCACGTTTACCTTTGTTTAATGAGACCTCGCCTTTGAATTCCAATTAACAACAAATTTGGGGCATTTTGTTTGGTATAAAAGACCCAAGTTTTGTTTGTCATCACCTCACTGAAGCCCTCTCTGGTCCGTCTCTTTTCTCTTTTTTTTTTTTTTTTTTTCCCGGAAAGTTTTTCTCTTTCTCCATGAAGTCTCCATTGAAGCTGCTCGTAGGTCAAGCTCTACGCCTGCCCAACGGTCAAGGTTTGCCCTAATCGGTCTCTTTTTATTTCGGTGCAGTATTTCAGACAATTAAAAAGTGAAAGCGTTTCGGCAGGTTTTTATCTATTTCAAAAACAGAATGAAAAAAAAAAATTAAAAATTAATTTTTCAAAATATTAATCAAAATATCTTAAAATATTCTAAAATAATTGTATAAATATATTGAAACATTACAAAATACCTTAAAATATTATGAAACACCTTAAATATTAAAATTTTAATTTCATCGTTAATTAATTTTGATATCTTTAAAAACAGAAATGTTTCAATTTTTCGACAATTTCAAAACTAAATTTTGATCCTTATAAGCCACGTCAAGTTTACTAGATTAGCGACCATTCTTTCCCATGGGTGATCGTTCTCTCATGTGGCGTGACTTAAGCTGAACACATGGATGTTCCAAACCTCAGAGGGTAATCCAAGCTCAATGAGAATGGGAGAACAGATAAAAAAATTAGCAAGGACTTTATATTATAAATTTAAGGTAATTATACATATGATCCTTAAATTATGATTTTTATGTCAATTAAATTCTTGAATTTTTTTTTTATCAATTTAGTCCCTAAATTTTTTAATTATGTCAATTGAGCCCTTCTGTGTACTTCTTTTAAATATTTTTAACGAAAAGTAACGAAGTGTGTCACTCACGTGACACAAATAGTTAGAATAAACTACATATATGATCCTCAAACTACGACTCTTGTATCAATGAAGTCTTTAAACTTTTTTTATATCAATTGAACTTCTGAACTTTCTAATTATATCAATTAAGACATTTTATCTTTTTGTGTCATATAATCACGTCAATGACACTCTCTATTGGAGATATATTCAACTGACACAATTAAAGAGTTTAGGGGTTTAATTTTTAAGAGTAAAAAATTTAAGGACTAAAGAGTAGTTTTCTTGTAATACTCACTATTTTATGTTGAAGTCATTTTCAATGTCATCTGCCTTTCTTCTCCAACTACTTGGCTTGTGGATCCTTGATCAATTCAGTACAATTGTCAAACTACACAGGGAAGCTGCTTATTTCATTATACCGGAATAGTCTGCATGATATGTAGTGGAGGATGTCTGTTAGCATGTATGAGTTCAGGCATGAAATCCTAGATAATATGGTGGTCTGCTGAACAAGGGGGACAACATGCTTTTTTTTTTTTCCATTTTCCCCCCTAGGCTCATGGAAAATGAGATACAACACAAGGGAAAATAAAAGGGCAATATGCTCATGTTTTTGACACTTAAACAAGGAAAATATGAAACTGACAATTATAAATGATTTTCCTTTGAACCATTGTAACTAAAATCAACATAAAATGAATCTAGTAGATTTCTAAACCCACAATTCATGACAGAGACAACCACCTAATGTTGGGGTTGTGAAAACAAAGAACACAACATCTGCATAAGGAACCTATAGTTTTAAAAATATTACAACCCTTGTATTTCTTTAAACATATTACATAGCAGTAAAGTCCTGTCGGTATAGTTCAAAGGGCTTACCCAGAGTAACCACACATGCACACAAAGAGCCCTGACAAACAATATATTATAAAGTGATACGAGACACACATATATTTAAAAATCCAGCAAACAACCTAATTGAAAGTAATTTCTCCTCCCCATGATGATAGCCAATGTGGGCATGAGAAACAGATGCAAGACTTCTCAAATATTCCTAAGTCGGCACATAAGCAAGAAGAACTATTTGAGGGAGTACCATATAATAAGAAATGACAACAGAAGGATAGATAATGGTAGCAAAACACAACATCAGACAATCTTTTACAACCAACCTATGAAATTGTACCTCCAAAGTTGACAATCAACATATGATTAGCAAACTGGTCTTTGTTGAAGTGAAATTGGGCCTTTAAGAAATACTACACACAGATAGAAAATTCGACATTATCAACATATTTTGGTTGCATATTGAGTACACATATACATACTATAGAAGGCTGATATTGACCATCGAAATTTTTAGGTAGCCGTAGTCATAGAAACAGGAAAATCAGACAAAATGTGGTCTGTGTTGAAAATATCCACAATTTAAATAATTAAGTGGATAAATCATTGCTGTGAGAAAAGAAATATGATGATCAATTGGCAATCACACTATAGCAAAACATGAAGAAGAAAAAGACTTGTCCTCGCTAGAGACATGTAATCACACTTGACATGGTGTCAGACTTAGCTATAAACTAATCTTAGGATTTCTCAATTTTCCTGCATCGTGAAAGAAGAATTACCCAATTCCCCTTAGTTTCTCCTTTTTTAATGGCAACATTATAAGTAGTTTAGTTGGTGCTTCCAGGAAAGCATACTTAATCTAAATTGGACTTCTAATGTTTTTTCTTGTTTTAGCTCCAAATTATATACTTCATTTAAAAGACTTAATACCAATGATATGTCACATTTTATATATCCTTCTTTTATTGATTTTGATATATCCAACTGCAATTTATCATTGAATGTTGGCTAATTGAACGAACAAAGAACTTTACTTTGTGTTTCGTGATTTCATTTAGATTCAAAATTTGCATCTCATGGAAGAAAAAGTAATGTTTTAAGGAATAATTTACCAATAAAGAAGTTTGAAGTCCACCCTCTGCAAGACTATTGACAAAAGCAACAAATGCAACTCACAAAAATGTGTTGTTGTAGCAAGAGAAATACACTACAGTTAGAACATGCACCCAATGTAGAGTAATTTCTTGTAGCACTAAATACTGATTAGGTTAAATATATGTAGTAATCATAGTATTGTAGGAGACAATATTTCTTTGGGGGCATTTCATCAAATATTTTGTAATAATGAACTGAATCAAAATGAAAATTCACAATTAAAATTCAAAACATCATAGCTATAAGCCCAATACTATCAGCATTGCATCTCACAAAAAGTGAAGAAAATGAGGGGGGGGGGGGAGAAAGAAAGAAAAGGATGCTTTTTAATTTCAAATAAACACAATGATAATTCACAATCAAAACTTTTTTCTATGAAATCAACATTCTTTTAACAAGATAATAGAAGTTATTGCATTTGTATAGTGATGACAATTGGAATGACACATACAAGAAAAAGCCAAAAAGAAAGGAAAATAGGTTCTTGCTCACCTTTTTGATCTAGAAGGAATGTTGGATATTGATAGCTTGTCAATATCATTGAATGTTAAGTCCTTAATACTCTCTAATGTTTCCAGTCCAACTGACAGGTACCAACACCGCAAAAAAAAGTGCAATGATGGGGACAAATATTTTCAGGCTGCATCAGAAATTTCAAGTTAAATGATAGGCATAAAACCTACAAATCATCTAAAATTCCACACACTATGCGTTCATCAGTGTATTCCCCTCCTTCATGAAAATGAAACACAAAAGCATAACTTGGAATTGAGTATATGTAATATATATCTAACTGAGTATATATATACTAAGCACAAGGAATGTCGAACTAAATAAATTGACCTATTCATGGTTTTTTTTACATGAAAGATATGTATGATAATCGCTTTCATATTATTGTTTTTTTCTTCGTCTTTTGTTCTTGTCTTGTCTTCCATATGAATTTTATAATTCTATTCTCCTAGTAATCTCATTAGCAAAACAGAATAATAAGCAATAAGCAAAATCTAAAATGAAAACTTCTAGAACTAAACCAATCCAAATATTCTGATCTAATAATTTGTTCACATGTGGCAGTTACCTAGTCAGAGGGAGGGGTGGTGGTCCTCTAGTAGTTGTGAGCTTGAAGAAAAGGATGGTTTGCTATGTATCCGAGTTGCCATGTGATTACAAAGAAAGTTAAATTTTGGACAAAGAGTATAAAATTAAAAGAAGATAATGACTAAAGGCAAAAAATACATGAATGATTTGTTAATAAAAACTCATTAATTGATGCAATACAATGTTGGTTGTGTAATGCCAAGACCCAAAAGTCAGCCGACGTCTGATAGAGAGGGGCAAAGAGAGAGAGAAAGGGATAGAAAGTAGAAGAAAGGGTAACGACTGAGAAGTAATAAAAAGCAATTAGAGGTTATAATTAAATTTAGTGTGGTGTATTACCTTTGAAGGATAAGAATGATATAGTTGTATTGTTAGAAGATAAAGTTAAGGAAAAAAAAATGTTTTTCACATGTGCTGGTAATTTAAATTAGTATATATATTTATTTATATATATAATTTGTGCTTGAAAATTGGAGCACCAAAAAAATTTGATCCCATAAATCATCAAAATTTTCTTAAATAATAATATTGTGAACACCTCCATTGTGCACCACTTCTCTTACACTATCTAGTGTGACATAATAAAAGTCATTAAATATTTAATAAATTTTGTGAGAACTGCTAATTTAATGGTTTATGTTGAGGTGGTATACAAAGATGGTGTATATAGTATTATTGAATTTTAAATTATAAATTAAAAAAAATAAAATTAAAAAAATAAATATCACATAATTAATATTTAATTTTTAGCATTATATAGTCACTTCACTTATTACCGATTAATTTTGAAGGGATAATAAGCTATCACCCTTAGCTAGGCCATTGGGCCATCTTTGGGCCCGAAATGTGTTAAAGAAATCCAATTCGTAAAAAGTACGGCCCCAACACCTTCACTTAGCCTGACTGACGCATATATAAACGCAACACCCATCTTTCTTTGCTCCGATCGCTACCCCAATTTCCTCACAACGACTGGCGACGACGGGGGAACCGAAGACGACGTTCGATTGTTTGCGTCACTGAACCGATCGAGCCATATCGCTCGGAAATAACCTCCGGCAAGGTATTTAGAGCTCAATTCTGAAACGATTTTGCAATTTCACCGTTGGCTTTTTTTTTCTAGTTTTCTGCATTTTTGTTTTTTTCTCCGTATATGTTCCAACCTGCGGTTGGATGGACATGTTGTTGGTATGAGAATTGTTGATTTCATGTCCGAGAAGTGGATTTTTATTTGGGATGATTTTCTGGCTCTGTGACCCATTAATTGCATGTTCAAAATTTTTTTTTTGACGAATTGGTTCGGATCTGATCCTGGACATGCTAGATCTATTGATAATTTGAGGGTTCTTATCTGAAATTTGCAGATATGGTACATCGTTGACATAGTAAGTTCTTTGGTAATGTCACTGAGGTTCGAGCTGATGTTGGATCTTAGTCCGTACACAAAGTACTCGTGATGTACTTTTTTTTTTAATTTGTAGGTTAATTACTTGGTTTTGTGTAATAGCTGATGCTGGTTGTTTTGGAGGTTATTGAGGATTTAATGAAGTTTGCCTGTTCGTTCATTTCAAGTACATGGATGAGTCAATGAACCACATCACTTTGTAGGCGGTTTTTTTGGATGCGTTAACCAAACAATATTTTTAGGTTGACTCTATGTGACTTTACCTGTGGTAATAGGGAAGGGTGATGAAGTGTTATTGAAAGCTTTAGATATGGTTAGGATATTAGTGGTAATGTTTAAGATTATCAGTTTATCTTTAGCCCAAAACAGATATGGAAGTGAAGACACTTGACATGTAATCTTAGATACATAAAGCAGTGCATTTGTTTCTGACCTTACAGGTTGTATTTTAACGGTAGAGTTGTATGGCTATGCCTGATTCATTACTTTTAATCTCATGTTGTGGTGGAATTATGTGCATATATCTCTGTGATTGTTTTTTGTTGGCTTATTTGGTGTACCATAAATACGGGGATATGCGATGTGTTTTTGTTTCGGGCTTGTTCCTTCCCTAGTTTTGATACAAGGTGACGAGATTTGGTACTTATGGTGTTTGAATTTTGAACTGTTTTGAATATACCCAATTCATCTAGTAGGTGTTCCAGCTGTTTTTCTTCATGTGTGAGTTTTTTTAACTGTTAAAATGGGCTGCCAGCCAATCTGTTTTTTTGGCTGATGTTGTTGATGTGTGGGTCTTTCTTTGTGTTTAGGACGTGTGACATACTTTTGAATTTTGATTGGTAAGTCTGAAGTTTAATGAAGTATGTGGGGAATCTCATGAAATTTCAGACTAAACAACCAAACCGCTTAAGAAACAAACTAAGCAACAAAAAAGTGCAAAATATTTGTTGATAATTTTGCTTATTACTAAGGAAACCTAATTAAGAAAAGTTTGTGTTGCAGGATTTTATATCTGCTACTTCTAATATCCTTGCTGACAAGAATAAGAAATATTATTATGATGCTCTTGAAAAACACTGCTAATATCTTTTCTTATTTTTGCATGTGATGTTCCAGATGATTGATGATCAGGACTTGGGCTTCTTTGCCAATTTTCTAGGTGTCTTTATATTTGTACTGGTGATTGCTTATCATTACGTGGTGGCAGATCCAAAATACGAAGGCAACTGAGGGTTTGTTCGAGTATATGCTTGCTCTAGGAATTTCATGTTTGTTCAGTTTTGTTGGCAGAGCTGTTTTGCAAATGGATATCACATGGAGTTAAACCTTCATTGCAAAAATGACTTGTATTTGACTGCTCTTGATTCACAGACAAGTTAAAGACCTTTTCATTATCTTTTTCTGCCTCCCCCCCCCCCCCCCCCCTTTTCCTTATTTCCCAATCATTCATTTACTCCACACATCTCCATGCACCTTAAGGTGCTTGTGGATGGATATCTCGTGTGTTTTAATATTGTGCAATATTTTCGTAACACAAAACCACTCCAGTTCTAGGAATGTGATGCTGCCAAAATTTCAGAGAAATTTATGTGGCTCGAGATAAAACTGAGAGTTGAATATTAGATACTGAATTTTAATTGTTGAATTTTTTAATTTGTAGAATGTTTGGAATCTATTAACATTAAAGTATTAAATTGAATTAAACTGTTTGACAATTAAAAATAGTTAAAATTTAAAAATTATTATTATTTAATTATGTTTTTTTAACTATTTTACCGCAACTATCTTATTCATACTATCACCGTTACAGTGGTGGTGGTGGTGTGATGGTGGTGACGACGGTAACACAATAATGATGGTGGTGATAGTGGCGACGATGACCGTGGTGACAATGGTGGTTGTTGTGACGGTAACAACACAATGGTGGCAACGGTGATATTAAATGGCGGCGATGGTGGTGGTGGAGTGACACAATGGTGATGGTGGAGGGGCACAGTGGTAGTGGTGGTGACGGCGACGACACAAAGGTGATGGATGTGGATAGTAGGTATTGAAAAATTAAGAGTACAAAATATATTAAAGGTATATTTGTCAATTACGAGAAATTTATAAAATTTTTACCGACTAACATTTCAACGTTAAGTGATAAGTATGTGGCTTGTTAAGTGGTACGAGTTCTAGGTTATTGTTTACCAAATGAGTTTGATTCATTAAGTACTTAAAATATTCAATTAAAGCATTGAGTGGTGTTGTGTAGCCCATAATCTGGCATCGAACCAATTCTTTCATTGCTTCTTCAATTTCTTTGGTTTCTCTCATTAAACCTCTCGTGTGAAACCTAGTGGCAATTAAAGGGAGAATGCTCCTCTTATCCTTGCTTAGCACGGATTTAGTTAAATAACTCTTCTGAATGTTAAAATAAAAAAAAAAAAAAAACAAAGTAAGATCTTCGCAGCCTCTTCATCATCTATGGTCCAAATGCTATGCCCCCCTTCTCATTTGATGATTTCCCGAACTTAGGTCATGAAATGCTTTGTCCTCTTGCCCCTTATTCTGGAACACATCAAGGGACAACAGAATAGATCAAAATATTCGTGAATGCTGATACAATTTTGGCATCTTTCATTTCGAGATTGGTACATATTTAGTTTAAATCATGAGTCTCATCTACTCATGGATTTTTCATTTCGTATGGACCCACCAGAAACGAGCTACGTGGATCATCTTTAATATTGTTCAACATCGTAGCATGACTTGAATTTGTTACAAAGCTTAATGTTTCTCCTATTTAATATTTTTTTGTGTATGACGTTCTCTGATATTGCGATTGATACATCTTAATATCCTCTGAATTGACAATAGATTTAACAATCTTGAACAATGGATGACATATACCAAGGTCCCAAGAGTGCATGATTGCAACAATGTGATCGCCTTGTATAAGAGCATCTACATATACGATTACGAGTTGAACAAAAGCAACCCCTTCTGGTAAATAGATGCTCTCTCTACTTGTCTGTACTCAACAAGAACAGGTAAGCAATCAACATGATTGCAGTGGATCGAACTATTCATGAATAACTTAGGACCCAAAAAGAAATTCGTTCAAATTCATTCATTTATTAAACAAACTAATCTTTAACTCCATTTTAAAACTCTTTTAAGAAAAAGAATAGGGCCTGAGCAAAATTGTTTGGCTCTTTGGTCTTCTGAAGAACCGAGCCTGAGTTTGGATGAAAATTAAATTCGTTACAATCCCGAGTCAATCTCAAAACTCTTCACAAATGACTATGTTGAGCTTGAACAGTCTAGTACTGTGCTCCGTTTGATCCATTTTGTCCCCTAACTACCACAATATGCTAGGTTGTAGATTGATTTTCTAGACGCTATGACACCCTTACCTTTCAGTTTACTACTTAAAATAACAGCAAGGCTTCGTCTGACAAAAAAAACTGCTTCAAAAGGTACCGCTCGTAACTTCATGTATAGTTATGCTGGCCATGGCATTACTAAAACGAATTTAAGCCCAGCCAACAGAGTTTTATATTTAGCCTCAAGTTTAATCCTCTTGCATAGGAGCATCTACAGAATAGACGCCTAAGACGTGCTCTATAACATCTCCAGGAATAGCATCACAATGAAAAATGTCAGAACTCGTACCAGGTCTCCCATTCTTGCCTGTTTAAGACTTGGCCTGGGAGCGAGTCCGAGGGAGAAACCTAAGCCGTGGAGAAAACCGTAACTCCTGCTTCTTAGAACTAGTAGACTTCCTCCTCGGGGCCTGACTACTTCCACCACTGCTGGGATCATTGCCTGCAAAATCATATCAATGTTCATGCAAAGAGGAGAAGATAATTTCATGATTGATAAAGAGTCGTTCTAGAACTGCTCTTACTATACCGAAGACTATCCTTGAATCAGACGAAACTGAACACAAGAAAAATCATCACAGAAAAATATTCAGCAGTTGTTGAATATACAGAGTATCTTGTCACAATGATAGGGAGTGCAAAAAGAAAGCGGAGACGAGAGCCTCCAAGAGACCTGAGAATTGGCAAAGTATTGGATGAAAGCGAACCCATAATTGATGGGAACAAACCAATGGATAGATAACACCCAATAGCATATGCTGTAACCAAGGCTGGACGGCAAACATAAAGATGCTACTCAGACATGATTTTAGGGAATAAAAACAACCAGAGAGCAATGATTGAGTTGAGTTATTATACCTTCAGTGTTTTGAGTGATGTTGACAGTGGTAGACATCTTCCTCTTCTTATGCATTTCCTCCTTTACAGGTAAATTAATCTCAGTATTGAGTGGTGTAGTTGGTGGTTTCTTTGTTCCCAGTATACCCCGTGTAGCTTTCTTACTTTTATTTCCTCTTTCCTCATGATCATGAACTGGTGAATGAGTTAGCTTTCTTTTGTTTAAATTCTCTCTCTCTTTGACACTGGTCTTCCTCTCAATATCATGCTTCTTATTCCTACCCTCCTTTTCTGTTGAATTTTTCCTTTCCTCAGCAGGGAGCAAGTCAATCTCATCATTGAGTGGCGGCACACAAATTTTCTTGTCCTTCAATATGTAACTTCCATGGTGCGTCATGTTTTGGTCAGACAAATCTGGCTCGGGATTTCTTGCTGGAGTATTCTCTTCCGTTTTTTTCTTGACTTCAAAACTCTGAATTCCATCTTCTCTCTGAACTGCTGAACGAGTCAACCTTTTTGAGTTGGTTGAAAACCCTGACTGCCTCCCTTCAACACTGGCCATCCTCTCAATATCATCATTCTGATTTCCAGTACCTTTCTGGACTGCTAAGCGACTTTGTCTGGTTGTTTTGGCAGAATGTCGTCTCTTGCTTTCAGTTGTTGAACATGAAAACCCTGCACTATTGGCGATTTGTCTGGTCTTATTTTCATTCTCCCTCTCCTTTATCAGTGCTCCAGAAGACAGTTCCATAATATGAAGCTTTCCTGGAGCACATCTGGTTGAGAAAAGTGATTTTACAATGTCACTACATTTTGGAACAAACGTCACTGGTGCAGCTTGTATTTTGAGTGAGAACTCCTCCTTCATAGACAAATTAATCACAGCAGAGAAAGTGTAAGATTTAGACCACGTCAGCAATTCCATGGCAACGTGCTTGTGAGTTGAGTAGTGATGTCTGACGAATGTGTGATTTACCTTCTCATGATTAGTTGAAAATTCCAGATTTTGAGGCACTTTTGACATTAGTGAAGCAAGCGCTGCACGAGCAGCAAGAGGATTGAGAGGGGACTTGCTTTCAGGAAACTCCTCTTGTGCGGATGGAACAGGGGGTGGTGGATCTTTGACTTCCATCTCCAGATGCAGTTTGTTCCCACTCCAAGTAGACCTGTTTAAATGATTTTTGCCAGGATAAACTTGAATGTTTGACAGCTGCTCACTTACTTTGGATACAGCAGCTACGCACTCAATCTGTCCTTCGGTATCAGCTGCAGTAAGAAACCCTGGGTCATAATAGATATTTTAATATCAAATATGCAGAGAATTTGTACTCGGGCAATCTTGGATATGACTGCTAAAAACCTCTGAAGCACTGAATCTTGCATGTATGCCAGTCTGTTATAATTTCTGATACGACCGTCAGACAAGCAAGGCAATGAAGAAGTGGTATTTTTAACCCTAAAATATGACTCGTTAAACCTGTGAAATCCGTGTAACCCGGCATGACCTATTAATTAAACAAGTTACAAGAGTCGGATCATCTGTGTAGTAAAAGAGTCATACTAAGGTTCGAGATTTCGACAATATTACTTAGCCATGTCATGTGTGTTGCATTACCCATACATCGACATTTCATTTTTCTGTATAGTTTGTTGTGGTGTTTTTATTTTTTGGCTTAGCCTAACAAAATGCATGCCTAACTCACTAATCTACGTAAGGAAAGACACAGTGCCTCAAATCAGTAGCACGATTATTAATCTTACCCTTATCACCTTAAGCAGGCTTGTGAAGGGAGTCCTGGTAGGCTAGTAGTCATTCATTGCCGTCTGTTGGGCCGCTTATGTACTTTCTTCCGGATACAAAACAAGAAGATGGAATTGGCTTTGCTTTGGCAGAGTTATATATCAGATAATAATTTTTGGTCATTCATGAGGTCAATACAACACTAAAAATATAGGCATCCAAAAATAACTAACAAAAGATCCAATAGAAATTACTCAAGTTAGAAGGGAGGTAGGCACCATCCGTAACCAAATAACAAAAGATACAATTGAATTGTTTTTGGGGATTGGTTGGGAGGTAGACACCAACCGGATATACAAATTTAGGAGTCAAAAACATCTGCTATAAGGCCCAACTGTTGATCAGATCCATGGGGCAATTGGAGTCCAATACATCTGCCAGTTGGCAGTGTCGTTTAAATAAGTCTGTGATAGACTATATACGACCTGGACCTAATAGGATAAAAGACAAAAAAAAAATTCCCCATAAACCACCCAGAATAATTTGATTGTCATTATTAGTTATATGCATTTGATTTGAGTTATTTTTGGAAGGGAGTGCCATTAAGTAGCACCCATATTTTTGAACGTCCTGCAATTGTTAGTCAAGGGGCACACTCCCTTGATACATTGCAGTTCCAGAGCAAGACATACTCAACATTCGTACTTACATCAACACAATCTTCGCCAACTGTAGTGGATGGTTCATGATTTTAAGCTAACTCTTCAATGAAAAAGGGATGGCACAGTGCTCCCGCCACTAGGGGGTCTACGAAGGGTCAGATATACGCAACCTTATCCTCACATTCGAAGAGGTCGTGTCCACGGCTCGTTACAACGGAACAACCTTACCATTACACCAAGGTCTACACTCTAAGCTAAATCTTCAATGCTAAAGTAATTAGACATGAAAAAAAATTGATCTATTCATCAAACTGATACACTTGCTAGACATTGCTTACCTTCAACCCCGAACAGGATGTCCTTTGGAGCACCCGTCTCGAAAGCATCAGCTGAGTTACTGATCTGTGCTATTTGTCTTTCCAGCATTTCGTGAATATCCATTTCAAAGTCCATGTCTTCAACGACAGTTAGTAACGAAGATGGGGTGGAGCAATCAGAGTTTTCCGCTGTATTCAGGAATGCAGAGATTGTTGGATGTACATTGATGCTTTTTGTAGCCAGTTTCATGATTGAACGAGATGGTACAACCAAGGTTCCTCCTTCAAGATTTTGGTTAAGCCATTTGATCTCAAAAGTACATCTACAGTGTATTCTCTTTGAGTGTCGTACCCACAATGCCTGTTATATTTCACAATCAGGATGCTAATGGAACTAGCAATAAAGACCAGAGTGAACAATGACAGCTCTAAAAATTCGTCACTCACATGTGCTCCCTTTAGGTTTCTAGGGAATTCTTGAGACAATACAGAAATAGTTCCATGGGAGATTCATAGTCCTTGAAACAAAATTTGTATTCAGCATAGATGGACATAAGCTGCGGCGAATAACCTCATTTATTATGAAGCACAAATACTCCATTTATGTCGAAATATTCGTATCAAATATGATACTTGTCAAATTCTCGAGAATATATATTTGATCCACACCATTCATCATATCCAATAATTTTATTCTTTAGATATGGAAATGGATATGAGGAGTAATTTATAGTTTTTATTTTATTTTAATCTCGATTTCATATACGATAATGCAACACAACTGAACAAAACCTTATTCCAACTATTTCGGGTCAGCTATATAAATTTTGTTTCATTGTTGTGCTATATCAATGGAAAATACACATACGACAATACACATAAAACAAATCTATATGGCCTTTTGAAGACATGCATGGTATCTTAAGTATTACTATTACCAATTACCACATACAAAGAGACATAAAATGAGTTAAGTACACCCCATCTACAAGCAACAAGTATTTCTAACTTCCAAGTAAACGAACTAGTTGAATGATGGTTCATAATCCTTTAATTGGTTACATTCACTTTGTAAGTATACCGGGATGAGACGATCTATACTTCTTTGAAAATAAAAAATGGCATTTTTTGAATTGTTTCATAACTTTCATAGTCATATTTTGACCGTATCTGTATTCTATTTTTTTAGGTTTTGTTACGTTACTGCATTCTATCTTGTATCTATATCCCTGCTTGTACTTCCTAGGTGCACTAGTAGAACATCTACCTTATTGTAACCTTGGGGGTGGCAACACTTCTATTATTTTTCACACTTTGTGAGTGCATTTACCCAAAACGCAACGACAATCCTCAAATTGTATGAACAGATATGCACTCCTACATGCACACATATATTATATATATTCGCCCTTGTGATATATATCATGTACACTCCATGGTGCGTAACAAGATGATCTCAACATAACAGGTCTGAAACAGATAGAATGTGTGAAGCAAACTACCAACACTGGAACATATCATAAAGAGAGAACATTAAACAGAATATTTAATGAGTTCTAATAAAACTTCCATCATTATGATAGAAAATGCCAATTTTGGACACTAGTATGACCAACACCACTTAGACATACTTCCAAGAGAAAAAAATCAACATACTTTCATGCTTCAGAAGATCAAAGTACACAGTATATATGTTCTTGAAAATTAAGATGATCACTGTGCAAGGGTTGTTTTTAGTGATAGTGATCGAATAAGTCCATTCTCCATAAGAAAGTAAATAAACTGAACTGTGTCCAATTTACTATTGGAATAATTACATCATGAAAAGGATGTATACAATAATGACTGACTGAATGTTTGTAGTTCCCTCAACAGTCATGAACCCATTACAGGAGGAACATTTAATTTTTTTTCCCAGTTGTGAGTTGAGCCTATTACCAGCTATCCTGTTTTAATTTATGATGACATAACACTTTGATAGGACATCAGTTTGCTAAGTTAATATCTCTGAATAACTATGACAACATTGAAGAAGCCACAATATCTTTTCCTTCACAAGTATTATTCCTATATACTTACAGAGGTAGACTAATAGCAGTGCAGGGGCTCCCTAATACATCTATAGTCATTTCTTATGGTGAAACAGTTCCATTACGAAGTTCACCATAATAACATCAATATAGATTATTGAGTTTCCCATATATTCTCTCAAAGGTTGCCTTCACAACTATGCTATAGAAAGACTCCATTCTAGAAAAAAATATTTCATTTTAAAATAGAAGCAAGAAGGTGTACCTTTTCTACCTCGGCATCAAAGAAGAGAGTCTTAGATTGTAGCTTTAAGGTGGCAAGAACTTGCTCCCCTTTGTTGATGTGAGAGCAGTCATCACCTTGTAGAGGAATCGACCGTAAGCGAAGACGTGCAAGTGCTTCTTCTTTATTCAATATTATATCTTGTGAGTAATTGTCCTTGTAGTCTACAATAAGACTAACTCCCCTAGGGCTGCACACACACAGAATTACAATCTTTCATGCAGGTGTGCTCCACATTGCTTAATTGAAGCCATAAATCCAATAAATCTACATGAGATTTTATTCAGAAATATCTTGTATTCATATTTCAATTTTTTTTTTAAAGTATGACATAGAGAAATAAATCAATGAAGCAATAATATTAGAGCTATAAAGTCTAAATATGTGCAAAAGGGGCTATCACTATCGTCCTACACTGTTTTGTTAGTTCTTTATTCTAGTTTGATTGAAATATTCTGGTAGGGTAAATAGGTTCTTTCACATTGTTTCTACAAGACATCTAGCTCTCTGTGTTGAATTTGAAGAATGTTTTTTCTAGTTCTAGCCTGCTGCTCCAGCTCATGTACTTTATCTTCCATTCAAATACTTAATTCGTGTTCGTTTAAATATTTCCGAAATCAGTACAACATTTCGCAATTGAAACTTATATTTCCTTTTGAAAAATCTTCTACAACTCACACTTCCGTTAATTGATGGCATCACCATCAATGCATCCAATTTTGAGGAATTGAATGCATATTACGATCATTTTCAGCATAAACTCATTATCAAATCATTAAAAGTTCCGATCAATCGACAAAACTGTAACAACAAACCTCTCCAAATTCAGTCATCTAAAAAACAAATTACTGAGAAACAGTGTGGAAGTTAAGAACTACCACGTAGGATGAGAATCGGAAACAGCTTTTTCTCGGCGATTGAGAACAAAAATAACCAGAATGACCTCTCGAAAAAAAAAACAGAGGACTCACCAGAGAGAGACCTGGCAAGGGTGCCAAGAGGAGTCTTCTTTGCGCATACCTTCGAGCTCTACGGCTTCGACATTGGCCATTGATCAGGAGTTGATCGGAAAAGCTGTGTGTGAATGAATGAGTGAAACTCGACAAGTGTGGTGTATTTGGGTCTCAGCCTTACTACGGAGAGCAGGTAGCTCTTTGCTAATATGCGCACTGCGAACCACGAGCATTTTTAAGGAAATTTTCTGAAGAAATTAATAGAACTTGTTTATTTGATAGAGACTATCCTACATAGATAGGTATAGAATTTATATCGGATCGGATTTTAATTATTCTGAATTTAAATTTAAAAATTTGATCAAATTCTATTATTTAATGAATTTTATTTTTACAGTTCATATTTCAATTTGATGTGATCTAAATAATTTAATAAATTATATTTAAATTTTAACTAAATTTTTTTATGGAGATAAGTTCTAAAAAATTTTAGAGGACTCATCTCTTGAGCGGTAAAATCCATTTTAATGAAGATTAATGGTTCAAACTTGAACAACTCCACTCATTTATATAATACCGTAATATTTATGATTAAAAATATTTTATTGTATAATTGTGTTTTAATTAAGGGTATCAATTTTTTCCGTTAACACGAACTCTGAAAATAACACGATTAATTGACAAGAATAATAAATGGGTCAAATTAAAAGTTTGACACGATTAATGAGTATTGTAGATAAAAAATAATTATTTAACGAGGATTGTAAATAGAAAATAAGAATTTTATAATTTTTTTAATAGTATTATATTAGTTATTTTCAAAATAAATAATTTTTTATTAATATGAATATTGACACGAATCCAACACGTATCGAAAGTGATATGACACGACATGATTGACACCCCTAATTTTAATAAGATATCATATTAATAATTAGAACTTAACATGTCTATGAAGGCACTGATTTGACCCAAAAAAGATAAAAAAATCATCATAATTCATTTTAGTGTGTTGGGTGGTTGTGGAGGGGTGGTGTCAATCGAATCGTGTCGTGTTTGTGTTTGTGTGATATGTATATTGTATTATTTGTATCGTATTATTGTTATTCGTGTCGTGTTCATGTCAAGACTTACGAAAAAATTGAGTATTAAATATTAATCTTGACTATTTATTATACATATTTAATAATCGTATTAATTTTATAATTATTTTTATCGAAATCCGTATCAACATGTCCGAATTGACACTCGAAATTGTGGTGTCTTGGGTTGCTACCATACAACACAGCATGAAATAGAATTTTGTTCTCTTATGCATCAAATTGATCGGTGACTTTGACCCATGAGAAAACTAGTAACAACAAAAGGCCCAACAAAAAAAAGAAGAAGATTGCAATCAGAATCATACTATACTCATAACAATTTACAACAGTTTGACATTAAAATGAGTCGTTTATTGGATATACACCAAGTATTGAAAGTGTTAAGTCGCAATGAAAACCCAAATAGAAAAACCAGTCAAACAATACAATTTCAAAAACAACAAAGTCTTGATCATCCTTCAAGTTAGACCGCTCAGATTGATGTACTCGAGTGCTTAAGGTCTCAATGTCTACCACCACGAGGACATCAATTATTCAATACCCTATGCCAGTTGGCATGTAAATTGTACATCTTCGCCATGTTAGTTGGAGCAACCCCCTTTCATCCTCCGAATTTTACAGCTCTACAATGTTGGCAACAAAAAGATGAGTATCAAATTTTTATTTCGGTGTATAATTTTGATGAGTTTAGAAACAAAAATATTTAGATAATGTTTTAAAAATATTTCGGAAACAATATGAAAACAAAGAAAATTTAAAAAATTTATTTTCATAACATTGTCAAAACATCTCGAAAAACATAGAAATTATGATATTTAGGAATGTTCGCTCTATCATACGAGTAGGAATTGTTGTATTCCATCTTCCTACCCGATACATTGCAGAAGATTTTTTTTTTTTTTGGCCTACGCTATCCGATCAAGTGTACTATTTTTACCTGAATTCTGTCCAAAACAATTGGGTGAAAATTGGGTGAACACATAGTTTTTTGTTACTAGAATTTTCATATATAAAATATTAATAACAAATATTATATATATATATATATATGCAGTTTATCCTATTTCGAAGGGGTATTTGAGAGAGAGAGAGAGAGGGGGGAGGGAGAGGGAGAGAGGGAGAAGATAAAAGGTTTTCAATATGAATGGTAAGAGAGATAAGCTAAAAAGTTTTCCAAGTGGTTTGTATGGCGGTCGGAGGATTTTTGTCCCATTTTTTAAGAGAGAGAATTTATTCAAAAATAATGTTAAACAAAAAAAGATTAAGAGACATAAATGATACCATTGTTTACTTAGTTTTCTAACGGCAAACAATCATTTAGTGGAGGATATGAAAATGTGAAAAAATATATTACTATGATATAAATGATGTTATAAATTATAGTTAATACATAATGGAAGAGTTATGGCCTATGTCTACCTAATTTTCTTAATTGTGAATAATAATTAATATCAATGTACATATTATTCTATTTTTTATCTAATATGTACATATAATTGTGATTTATACGTATCTAATTCTATAATTTTTTATTCATAAAATATTCATTTTTTGTTTAAATAGTCTCTAACTAGACGGTTCATTAAAGTTTTTAATGGAAGTGATCACGTGTCATTCCGTCAGACAGTATCACGTGACCAGTACATGATCACTTCTGTAAAAAAACTTAACAGGCTGTCAGTGTATGGATCATTTAAACATTAACTAAATACTTTAGGGATCAAATTGACAAAATTGATACAATGAAGACTAAACTGTCAAAATATGTATATTTCAGGGACTAAAAGTGTTATTAATCATAAATTATAATATATTACTCTATAGTGATTGAAGAATTATGTTGATTTAACATAAATGTTTTTTAAAAAAATACAAAAAAAATATTTTTTATCTTAAAAATAAAATGGTCGAAATTTTGGATAAAAAAAAATACACATATATAAGTATAGTGCTATCTTTATATTTGAAATAAGTAATATTGTATTGATGAAGTTCTTGAAGATTTTTTGAACGTTTTTATTAAAAATTATAGTGATGCATATATTTTTTAAAAGTAACATAATCAATTAAAAAATTCATAGATACTGATATTTATACACAATAAATAGAGTATTAAAAAAGATGTTAGAGATAATTTATAGATTTAAACATATAAATATATGATGATAATTTAGATATTCAACTACGGAAAAGATAGTGTGGTATTTAAAATTATCTATAAGAGTAAAATAGAATCAAAAAATTTTTATGCTTAGGCAAAAGTTTCATTTTTTATTAGTAATATAGATGAAAAAAATACACACACATATATATATATAGGCATAATATTATCTTATATTTGAAAAGAATAATGAAATAGTGATGGAATTTTTGAACACTTTATTAAAAACTATAATGACGCATATATTTTTTTAAGAGTAACATAGTCAATTAAAATTTTTCATAATTATTGATATTTATACAAAGATAATAAAAAATTAAAAGAGATGTTAGAGGGTAATTTAGATATTTAAATAAATAAGGATGTAATTATAATTTAGATATTTGACTATGAAAAGATAGTATGATATTTAATTTTTTTTTTATAAGAGTAAAATAGTGAATCAAAAGTTTTTCACTTAAGGTACTTTTATTAGTAGTATAGTATAGATTAATTTTTAGATCATTTTAACAATTTAATTAAATAACATGTATCAATTAACTAACACAATAAATTTGATAATACATAACCAATTACAATAAAATATAATAAGAAAGCCATAAACATCAATAAAGTATTAGGGTATCCATATGCAGTTAGGGTAGGGTAGAAATACGAAAATTTTGTAGGTGTTCCGCATTCCTACCCGAGTTTTTGTGGAATATCAAAAAATCTTCCGTTGGCCTACTCGATTCTTTCGGATAACCGATCAATGGAGCCGGGTTGGGTAGAGTAGGGTCAAAATTTGCAGTTAATCAAAAATTTGAACACTTTTACTGATACTCAATCAATGATTCGTTTCGGTGTCTACAAAAATGGAAACGTTTCAACCGTTTCAAAAAAAAATTTAGTTCCTTGTAAAAAGAGCATCGCAAAACATTACATCAATAATATAGCAGAAGATGATATGAGAAATACTTGATACAAATATTCAATCTTTTTCAGAACTACACAAATGTGCACCAATATGATAGCAGCTTGCAAAACTAGTATTTTTATGTCAATATGAAGTGATAATGGCATATCAATAAGAGAAGAGTAATATATGGAATGGTGAGAAACACAACTAATTTCAAAAGAAACTTCTTTATAAATAACATCTTTCACAAAAGAAGCTCTATTGATATGCAATAACATAATTGCACAATTACACCAACATGTTGAATTATTTTGCATAGTTGTCTCTTCATACTGAAAACAATTAGAAGGGTAAAATGCAAAAATACCATGAATGCTGGCAGGTACATCAAGAAGAGCACATTAAACCTGCAAAAAACTGGAAACAAATATTGCATTAAGCAAAATAAATGGCGAATATTAGAAGAAGACAAAACTGTATTTTCAAAACAATTGACAAAGCTTCTACTTGCAAATGCAACTCTTCATGTTGTATTCTTTTACCCAGTTGTACTGTTGATTAAATGTAGTGAATAGAACGAATATCCTAAAAAATGTCGTCAAAATAACAATCAAATTGGTGAAAATAATGCATTGAATCCATTAATCTCCCGTTGAATCGCAAGTATGATCACACTACTCCTTGTTTGAATCCATTCACCATTGCTCTCTTAAGGGCCTTAAGAAACTTTTCAAAAGACATTGTATTTTGGTGAACTATAGTTGAAAAAAGGACATGTTTCTTATTGAAAGAACCAAAAACTGAGTGGTCCAAACTCTAATTTGACATTGTTTACATCTAAAAATAGCTAAATTTGAGACTGACGCGTGGAAGGAATTCGACGATCATAAGGAAGTCTATGAGAGTCCACAATTGACAGGACGGTTAGAGGAATAAGACTTTTGGAATCTCAAAAAATGTGACAATATGAATCGTCAGTTGGAAACGGTTCAACACATTTTCCTGTATCTTAAGGGACAAAGCCATGATCACAAGTCATGATTGAAAAAGATG